ACACATCAACTTAATTCCTCTATGATTTGCACACTTTTGTGCATCCCCTTTATCTTAAAAATGGGGACCAACATACTCTTCCTCCACTCCTCAGGCATCTTTTTAGTTTTTAAAATAATATTAAAGAGTTTAGTAAGCCATGAAACTCCCAAATCTCCTAAACATTTTCATACTTCAATTAGGATATCATCAGGTCTTATAGACTTTCCACCCTTGGTCTTCTTTAAAGCCTCTTCAACTTCTTTTTTTCTAATGCGATGGTAAAAATGAAACGTTTTATTATTATTAACAGTTCAATTGGGATATCATCAGGTCCTACTGATTTTCCACCCATAATTTTTTTAAGGTTTCATCAACCTCTTTTTTACTAATGTGATGGTAAAATTAAAATATTTTATTATTATTAATGATATTAAGATCGCTAATGTCGACCATATTTCAAGAAATTCATTAAAAGTTTATCAAAATAACTCACCTACCTATGTTGAATATCTTCTTCTAAGAAAAACACTTTTTGATTTTCATCTTTAATACAATTTACTTAAGTTAAATCTTTACTTTTATTTTCTCTTTCTTTGGCCAATTTATACATATATTTTTTATACAAAACATCATAATATTTTACGATCATATCACTTGAAGGTTATGTGTAATATATCGCCATTAGCATAATATACAAAAGCAATTTACAACATATATGTATGCTAATCAATTTTTATAACATAACTTCTTATATTTTATTTTTTCTTGCACATTATCATTCCACCACCAACCATTTTTATTTGAAGGAACAATTTCTTTTGATTCTTCAAGTACATGTTTTGTTACTTGTTTAATAGTGTTTGTTACTTCATCCCACAAGCATTTGCTTAATCATGAACATCCCAAATTTTGAAATATTGAATTTTATTCATAAAAATAATAATTAATTTTATTTTTTTTTTATGTTCCCCATCTAATTCTACGATGATGAGTCCTACTATATTTCATTATTTTACAACGCTTTAGCTTGAAATCAAGAACTAATAAACGATATTGGGTACTTAAATTCTCACTTGGAATGACCTTACAATCTTTACAATCTTGACGACCTCTTCTTCTCATAAGAAAATAATCAATTTGTGTTTTATTAGATCCATTCTTATAAGTAATAAGATCCTCATCTCTTTTATTGAATAAAGTATTAGTAATAACAAAATCATACATTAAAGTAAAATCTAAAATAACTTTATTTTTTTCATTAGTCACTCCAAAACCATAGCCACCATTAATATTTTTAAAATCTTCTACCACTCTACCGACATGCTCTTCAAGAAGTATCATTTGTATTAGGTCTTTTAAGTCATTCCAGAATTTATCTGTAGACCCTATATCTAAACCTACTTGAGGAGCATAATCACTTATAATATTAAAAATCTTAGTATCAATGATAATCTTAAGGGCTATCTCCAACTCCATTAATTTTTACAACATTATATTTCAAACTATTATCTATAATTACACATACACCATTTCTAGTGCGACTCTTATCAGAATACCAAAGTTTAAAACTTAAGCTATCAATCTTCTTAGCCTTATCTCCATTTCATTTAGTTTCTTGAATACATAAGATATTAATCTTTCTATGAATTATAATATCAACTAATTTCATTAATTTACCATTGAAAGTACCTATATTCCAAGATTCTATCCTAATATTAATTTCATTAGTTTTATAAACTGATTTTTTTACCCGCATCCGTACGTAATGTGGGAACCCTTGCTTGTTTGACACTACACCTGGGCGCTGGTGTAGCGTTCCTTATACACTTTTCACTGTATTCAGGCTATACAGCGCGTCGCTTCCAAGAGACGCTTAGCACTTATACAAATCAATTCAATGTAAAATAATAAAGATAAAAAAGGTTTAAATCATGATCGAATTATACTCCAATAATATTCAAATCATGCTTGAACTTTTTTTGAATTTTGTTCTAATCAAAAAGTTATTCAAACCATGTTCAAACCATGCTTGAACTATGTTTGAACTTCAAACATGATTTGAGAGAGGTTTGAACAAGTTTTGAGCATCTAACATGGTTTAAACAAGTTTGAATTTGATTATAGCATGTTTTTAACATGGTTTAAAATTTGAATAGGGTTCAAAGTTGTTTTAATATTGTACGTAGTATTTTGAATATCATGTGAATAAATTTTTGAATGTTGTTGCAATTGATAATATGTTGTCTACTGATGTTTAGGTTTTAGGGTTTAGCGTACAAGCATGTTTTGAACAACATTCGGCTCCTATATTATATGTTCGAATATTGTTTATTTCTTTAACTAAAGGATGGTTTTTTAGTTTCTTTCCTATTATAACCTATAATTGTTGTTGATGAATATATTGAAACCTAAATAATCAAAAGTATAACATCACTAACCTTGAATGAGAGATAGTTGCAACATATAGCTTGTCGTTGTGAAGCTATACCGTGGACTGATCACATGAGCTATAAGGTCGAGTAGAGAAGGTTTTGAGAAGGTGGGTCATTTAAGCATCGCATGATTTTTCAATTGTTTGTTATATCACTTTTTTTATTATGAATTGATTTTTTAGGAATATAACTATATGAACGAAGAAAGGAGATTTTACTGGCAAAATTATTTTTGTTAGTATACTGGCAAAATTTCTAGAATTGGGATGTTAATCAAGAACCAAATTCTAAGTGGGATAAAGTAACAAACACTTTTAAACAAGTAAATGATGTACTTGGAGAATCAAAAGGAAAAATTATTATAAATAAAAATATTTGGTGGTGGAATAATAATGTTAAAGAAAAGATAAAATTTAAGAAGTCTTATAAAAAATTGTTTAAATATAAATAATTAGAGAATTATGAAAATTATGAAGTGACCCGTAGGGAGTTTAAGAGAACAATTTGTGTCGCTAAATATTATGTTTTTAGTGATTTTTATAATAAATTTGATATTAAATATGGTGAAAAATATATGTATAAACTAGCCAAACAAAGAGAAAAGAAAAGTAAAGATTTAACTCAAGTAAAATGTATTAAAGATGAAGATCAAAAAGTTATTTTCTTAGAAGAAAATATTCAACATAGGTAGGTGAGTTATTTTGATAAACTTTTAATGAATTTCCTGAAATACGGTCGACATTAGCTATCTTAATATCATTAATAATAATAAAATATTTTAATTTTACCATCACATTAGTAAAAAAGAGGTTGATGAAACCTTAAAAAAATTTATGGGTGGAAAATCAGTAGGACCTAATGATATCCCAATTGAACTGTTAAGATATTTAGGAGATTTGAGATTTTTTTGGCTTAATCCTTTAATATTATTTTAAAAATTGAAAAGATGCTTGAGGAGTGGAGGAAGAGTATTTTAGTCCCCATTTTTAAGAACAAAGGGATGCAAAAGAGAGTGCAAATTATGGAGGAATTAATGTGTCATATTTTAAAATTATGAGAGAAGATAATTGAACATAGGTTAAGACGTGATACAAAGATTTCTCATTATCTGTTTGGATTTATGATGAGCAGGTCTACCATAGAAGCTATACATTTATTGAGAGGTTTGATGGAGAAGTGCATAAAGAATAAGGATCTATATATTATTTTTATTAATTTAGAAAAAAATTTACGATAAAGTTTCAAGAGAAGTCCTTTGGAGCGTTCTATAAAATAAAGGTGTTGATATGACTTATATTCAAGTAATTAAATATATATATATTCTTGAGTTGTTACATGTGTTCGAATAGGAGGATTTGCCGAGTATTTTCCTATTTTAGTTGGATTACATCAGAGATCGACTTTAAGACCATATCTTTTTGCTTTAGTTATGGATACTTTTATTGGACATTTACAGAAGGATGTACTCTCATGTATGCTTTTTGCTGATGATTTCCTTTTTGTGGATAAGACTAGAGAAAGAGTTCAAAAAAAACTTAAATTATAGAGGTCTACATTGGAGTCTAAAGGCCATCATTGTTTGAATAGAACTAAAACTGAATACATGGAATGTAATTTTAGTGGTAATAGCATGTAATTTTAGTGGTAATGTAATTTTAGTGGTAATAGCTCTAGTGGCAGAGTTGTAACTATGGGTGATCAAATCATTAATAGGTGTGAATGTTTTAGATATCACGGGCCTATTGTTCAAAGTAATGGTGATATAGATGGGGATGTTATTAGTAGAATTCAAGTTGGTTGCTTGAAGTGGAGGAATGCATCAGGCCTATGTGTGATAGAAATGTACCAGTTAAACTAAAAGGAAAGAAAATTTTATAAGATGGTAGTATTTTATAAGATGGTAGTGAGATTTGCAATGTTCTATGGCGCAGAATGTTGGCCTTTAAAAGAGAAGCATAAAACAAAGTTAAGCATTGCTCAGATGAGAATGCTTAGGTGAATGAGGTGGCTTGACATTTAGAGACAATGCGAAATGAATATAGCCGTGATAGGGTTGGTGTAACTCCAGTGGCGTGCAAGATTGTTGAGAGCCGTCTAGATGGTTTGGTCACATTTATTGTCAATCATCTGATGATTCGGTTAGGAGAGTACATGCTTTAGATTCGACTGATGTTAAGGCAAGCAGAGGTAGACCTAAAAACACTTGAGCATATTGCATAAAAAATGATCTTATTCTATTAGAATTAAATAAAAATATGACATTCAATAGGATGCAATGGAGAAAAAGCAATGGAGAAAAAAGATTCATGAAGATTCATGTAGTTGACCCCATTTAGTGGGATAAAGGTTTGTTGTTGTTGTACACATATTATAAGGAATATAAAGTTAAATTTATCATCGAAATCCCTTTAATAGTATACCTGTTTGAATGTACTGATCGGTAAGTGAAACTTTCATGGGTAATAAATTTCATGAGTCCATTAGCTCAGTGAGTTGTTAAGTGTTTATTTTTGCAGTTTACTTTGTTTGTTCTGGTTTGATTACTTTCATTTGCTATCTAAACCTAGAACACTTCTATTTTTGCAGATGGAGAAACACTCTTCTCCCTGAAAGGAAAAAGGTGGGGAGGTGGTCCATAGACGAAGATAAACGCTTGAAAATTGCAGTCATTCTTTTTGGAGCCAAAAACTGGAAAAAAATTGCCCAGTTTATCCCTGGCAGGACTCAAAGTCAAAGTAGAGAAAGGTAGCATTCTCAGGAAACTAAACAATTTCTACATTAATCTTTATATTCATTTATTTTGTATGGTCACAGATGGCTCAATTGTTTAGACCCATCTTTAAATCTGGAAAGATGGACTGAAGAAGAGGATGCAAAGTTTTTTGCTGCAATAGCAGAGCATGGACATAGTTGGTCCAAGGTTGCCGCATGCATACCCGGACGAACTGATAATCAATGCAGAAGGTAAACCGAAATACCTTTTAACCTTTGCACGTTTAATGAATTTTTCCGTGCCATATTTGGATGATATCGTGACTTCTTTTATCATGCATACTAATGGTATTTCTTTTGGAATCAAGGAGGTGGAAAGTATTACTGCCCCATGAAGTACCTATGCTCAAGGCAGCCCAGCAGTTAAAAAAAACAGTTCTTATTTCAAATTTTGTTGGCCGTGAGGGTGAGCGTCCTGAAATTGGTCCCAATGACTTCACACCAGTTGTGAGTCTTCCAAATCTTGATATCGAAAATAATGCTGGTGTTGGCAAGAAAATGTCAAGGTATGTTTTTTAGGTGGATCAAAGTTTCTAATCTCCTCAGGCTTTACTGCAATTAATGATAATATAATTAATTAGCTTTATTAATGTAGTTCTCTAAATTGTGCAGGGTGGGATCAAAACCAGTTAGTAACATGAATGCATCGAGGTCAGGACATTTACTCGTTTCCACCTTTTTGTCCTCTGTTTATAAAATGTTTCTATTTGTTTAAAAGTTATGTAATTCACTCGGTTATTCTCTAGATAGTATGAAGTTGGGACCTATTGAACACTATGCTTCTATTTGTTTGTTGTTTTCTAATTTGGCAGAAACAGTAAGCTTAAAAAGGCTAGAAATAAATTCAGAATATCAATGGAAGAAAAATTGACCGACTGCAGTATCACCAATTCTATGGCAGATGCTTGTGGCAACTTGTCTCTTGTCTCTACTGAATATGATTCTACTGCGATTTGTTGCCTTAAAAGGAAAAGAGAGAGGTTGTTGAGGTATTGTCTATGGTTTATTTGTTTGAGCATTCCTTTATTTTGATTCTATAAACTGACATCCTTGAAATGGAAATTTCAACTTTGTATAGAGTTAACTTGTTGCTCAACCATGCAGCTTTCATTTTTCTTTTCTTTTTTCATATGCTTAGATTGAAACTAGTATCCTTTTTGCATCATGCACCGGAAAACAACTGGTGTTTTGGAAAATAAAGAACATGCTTTAAGTGTCTATGCAAATTAGAGAATAAAAAAGCTATATTAACATCATCAAAGCTAATCCTTGCAAATTTGAGATCTTTTCTTTTTGAGATATGTAAATGAATTAATGTAGCATAATATAATAATCCTTGGAAAATTGAGATCTTTTTTTGTTGGTGATACACAAATGAATTAATGTAGCAGAATATAATAATCAAATTTTACCTACCAAAAGATATCATAATGTCTAAATCATATGTGCAATACATATTATATGTGAAAAATTAATTATTAAACGTCATGAATTCTGTGATTATTTGCTTATACATAAGAATTTAATTGATGTAATGATTGGAGGTTCAAATTGGATTTGTAAAGTGAGTGTCTATTTTGATCTGATGCACTTTGTAACTTGAGGTAGGTTTAAATTGTTATTGGTAAATGAGGTTGTTTCTCAAAAATGAATATCTTATTAAGAAAATAGAATATTCTAATTTATTATTTATTAATTAGTGATCTAGTTACTAAACAATCAGTACGACTTAATGATGAATGATGTATGTGTTAAATTTTCTAGGCTAATATTTTCATTAGAGACAACTCGATAATTATTGATTATTTGGGAAATTTACTTACTTTGTTTATGCACATTAAAACCAATTATGTATATATTTAACTATGTATAATTATATGTTGTGGCACTCAACTAAACTAATTAATAAAATCATTGTTTTTTTATGCTAAAAAATTTTACCTTATTTTAATTTATATGAATTTTTCAATCATTTTTTATTATTTAACCATGTAATATCAATATCTACAGTTTTAGCAAATAGTCCTCTTATAACATCCAGATAGGAATTCTAGTTTAATTTCACCGAGCAATTATCTGCTTTAATCAAAGCACACCACACAACTTCACATAGTAATAGAAATAGCACGGCACAACATGGCAACACTGCCAAGAACTGCATTAGTCCCGTTTTCCTTCTTTCTTGCCTCCATCCCCAACTTCTCTTTTACTGAAAACTTTTGTGATGTATTCCATCAAAAGTGGGTCTTACATTTGTGCTGCCGTTGCTTCATTGGTTTTTTATCTCTTGGCTAGCTAGGTCAATTGTAAATCATGAGTGCTTTAATCCTAGGGTGCCTGATCTATGCACACACTTGTAGGCATACAACTGCTTCATATGCTCTCATACTTTATACACTTACGTATGAATTTATCCTAGAAATTTGAGTTATAGTATTTGGGTTTTATAGCAAATTTTGCAAACTTGTGTTCTTTAATAAAATTTTTAAGTGGAATGGAAGAAACGTACGGAATGTGAAATGGAGTTGAAGTCTCTTAGTTGAGGGTTTAATTGCAAAATTTTTACTAAAATATGCCCAATAAAAAGAAGGATTTTGGACAGAGGGTATTGTCAAGAATTCTTGTTTGTTGAATTTGTTTTTATGTTAGCTAATGTTACTACATAGAAACTTCATGATTGTAAACAATATATATTTATTAAATTATCTAATCCCAATATGCTTCTATTTTGTGCTTTCCTGATGCACTGAAGTATGATAACCAGAGAACTCAGAGCTAAATCACGAATTGTTGTTCAAGAACACTCAACAGGTGGGACATTTGAAACATGAATGCTGGAGGTTCTCTGATTGGCTTGGTTCTTGTATCTTATATAAACTTTGGCTCCACGGGAAGGAGTTATAAGGGGAGATGGGGAAACTTGTATTGTGACCAACTAAACTTAATCTTTTGATTTTTCACAGCAAGGAGATGCATGTGGCCATTCTCCCTTAGTTTGTGAAAAAATATATTGTTGCATGCTTCCTAATAATTTCTCATGAATAACATGATTTAACATTTAAGGGATTTTGTTGCATGTTTTGCTCCCAATAGTTGTGCAGGACAATCATTCTTCTAGTGTGCATATGGAACCGTTTCTTGCTTCAAAATTGACGCATAAACATGCTACGGCTTATGTGTTTCTTTCTTTTTCGCCTCTTTCTGCTCTAAGGTTTGAGTTGCACCAATCCTGCTTCTGCCTCTGCCCTCCACAAGTCATGACTCTACCTCCTTGCGGTAATGCTAGACATCTTTTTCTGTATTGCCATCAACCTCCGCATTGTCGCCACCTCTCTCTCTCTCTCTCTCTCACACACACACACACACATACTCCTTCCACCTCAATGATTCATGGGACCAATTGCTGCCATCTCATCGATATGAGGGCTGCCCTAATTTTAATTAATCTTATTGCTATTGTTTTAGCCCCTAGATTTTGTATTTTGTTACTATAGTTTCTTCAAGAGTTGTGAAAATGAAAGCTCCACCAATTCTCTCTTATTCATGTCAGGTCTATTCATTGAGTTCTAAAATCAAGCCATATTATTATATTGATTTATGAAGCATACGAGGAATGCAAAGTGCTTCATTACTCTGAGTGAACTGCTTGAATAGTTGTAATATTTACTTAAAAAAAATGAAGCTAAGTAAAAAAATCATTTATTTTAACTTTAATCTTAGAATCAAATACAATGAAAATATAATTGCCAATGATCTACAACATAATATTTGATAAAGTTATATGGATAATTGACTGAGGTTCATGATAGAAGATATGGATTTCAAATGAAACTTTAAGCCTTAAACAGAGCTTTCATCTGCAAATCACAAGTACTTGGTTTACTATTTGGATATTTGTAATCACCCTATGTAACTAATATACCAATTATGGTCATATGGCTGTCTTTCGTACAACTTTATTACGAAAATCCTTAATCACTTTATATAATTATTCTAATAAGAGTTTTCACTACAATACATATCTGAAATAACTTCAGCACACCTTTCATTAACTTTTTATTCTTGATGCCCATAGAATTCATTTTTGCTCCTTTATCATGCTAGTTTTTAAAATTACTAAAAACTATATTAAGATCAAAGTTCCTCTAGGCATAAAACCTCAAAATTATCTGATATGCATGCAATTTTTCTATGCTTTGTTTCATAACTCTCTTCCTTCTCTTTATACTCTCATTATTATTATTATTATTATTATTATTATTATTATTATTATTATTATTATTATTATTATTCGTAATTTTCTTGATTTTATACTCATCCCTAAATTCCTGTATCGAAAAGGTATGTCTCTTATTATTTTTATTTTTGGCTTTTAGTATTTTTCTTAATTTTTGAAAGGGAACTCCAAGGTAATTCATTATGAAGCTAAATGTATCATCCTAATTTAATGCTGGTTGCTTGGCTTAATACCAAATTTTACTATTTAAAACCATATTCAGTTATTGACCAATATCTTTTATTTGTTTGTTTTTATTCTTTATTTGGTATTGCACAGAAACAAACAATCAAAAAAGTCCCAGGATAAATCGGAAAAATATGGTGAAAAAAATTCAAAAGAAGATTGTTCGGTAAACATCGCTAAATCTGCTCACTTTTATTTGCCTCCCGTACTTGTTCCACCTTCTGCTATTTCTGAAAATGCATGCATTAAGAGAACAAGGAAGAGTACATCGAGGTATTTTGTATTTTTATTTTGTTGGTCTTCTTTCTACTTCAAAGAGGTTTGCAACATTCATGTGAGTTGTTTGGCCATGCTAGTGTGGAAAGTAGGGATCATGCCTGTTAGCATTTGTTTATCTTTTATGTTTTCACTCATATAAATCCCCAATTCCTGGGGCTTTAGATACTAAAATGAACATATCTTTTCTAAAAGTGCATATTTGTTGAATAAATGCTAGTGCAAGTGATGTAGCCTAAAAAGTCAAAAAGTAGTAGAATTGTGAAGAGATATGCAAAGAATTTTTACCAAGGAAAAAAAATTAAATGAAACAGTTATAGAATCATTTAACCAAATTTTAGAGATCCTCGCGAAGAATCTTAGCGGGAATCACTTATCCAAAAAAGTAGAACCTCGTTTTTTATTTTTTTTTTCTGAAGCTCTCATCTATATTATATTCATGCATATGCAGTTATGGTCTAAAGTTTAAGTTGATAGAGCGATGATGGTTGGGAGTAAATGCAGAAATTGGCAATCACAACAAGAGACAAAAGCTACTGCATAATATTAATTAAAATGCACGTAACTTATAGGAACTACAATTTTTATATTATAAAAAAAAATAACTAGCTCCACTTCACAACTCTTTTTATTTCCAAATTAATGAACCCAGAATTAATGATATTTATAGATTTACGTTTGAACCTGAAATATGAATGTCAGAGCTAATCATAAATTGCATTTAATAGTTTTTTTACGTGTTTCTTCTTAAACTGCAAAATTTTCATTTCATATACAAATATACAAGTTTTTTTAACTGTTAACATTTGTAAAACATGTATGGGAAACGATTCAAATAGAATAATATAATATTTTTGTTTGTTAATTACTTTTATATCATTGACATAAAGTATCAGACATGAATTGATTATTTGATGCACTTTGTTACATTTCATGTCCATGGTCGTCTGTAAAAATTGTGCTTCGTTACCTTTCCTTGTTGGAGTGCTCATGTTTGAAGTAATTTTATTACTTTGGTGTTGTTGCGAGGCCATGCATGTGTTGTTCTTACCGTATCTTGTGCATTTCACCGATTTAGTGATTTTATGGATTAAGAAGATAACAACCATATTGATAACACCATGATAAAAAAATAAACACGAGATGGGCTATCATTTCATTCATTTATTCATTTAGATGCCCAGGACTCATGGCAGAATTTCATTAAGCCTTTCTATACTTTCTATATTATTTTTCAACTTGATGCAGAAGGTCAAGTAATTAGAGTTAAATAATTGTTGATCTATTTCTTTCTTTTTTTTATTCATTTTTATGATTAGTTGAACTGTAAATAAATCCTGATGTTCCTTCTTTTTTTTGGATGGTTTTCTTTATTAAATCAACTCAAAATTTTAAAGCTTATCCCTTATCTATCTGTGTTTCCTTATTTTATATAGCTAATGTGGCAGAATTAGTCAGCCCGAGAGGTTTATATCTCATAAAAAGGAACGAATTGATGATATTTTTGCCTCGAATGAATTGAGTGAAGATGCTCTAATGGCACTACCGTTAGTGCATGTGATGAAACATATCTCAAGGTATTTTATTCCGGAATACTAACCTTTTTACTGTTTTTTTATTTCATTCGCTAGCATTGACTGATTCATTAACATGGTTCTGTTTTATGCTGTCAATTATTCATTGATTATCCCTCCAGGAAATCTAGAGCTATGCATGAAACCTCCAAGAAAAACTTAACCGAGCAAGGTATGCCAATAACTTCCGGAGCTTTTCCTGCTTATTTTCCTGCTGACTTGTGCACTCGAAAGAGACCTTCAATCACCATTGTAAATAAGAGGGCAGCGAGGTATGGTTTTTTGCTTTGTTCTCCATTAACTGCTATCCTGATATTTATGACATCCTTGGTAGCTTTTTCGTTCTTTTCAGTTTCCCAACCTTAATGACATGTACTGACTTGTAAAATGTCGGTTAACTGCTAATGATTTTGTTTACTTGGAAAAAGAAACGAATTTAATCATACGATGCAGCACCTAAATAAATATTCATGGCTAAATAGAAGTTTAAATTGAACTATATTGGCTCAAGAATTTAAATTATAATTATTATGAGTATCACGTTGAATAATTTTAGTTCATAAGATTAGATTTCAGTTTATAATAGAAGATAAATTTTTTTTGGCGTTGAATTATAAACCCTATTTCTATAAATAGGGTATGTTATTGCTTTCGTTATGAAGTTACAAATTATTCTTAGATTCTCTTTTTTCTTCTCTCTCTCTAACACTGATTCCTTTTTTTAGTGGGAAATTAAGATTCTCAATTTTCCTCTCCATCTCCGCTAGGAATCTCTCATTTCGATATCCATATGCACAAGGTCCAAGGCACCGGGCACCTTTCCCTCTCAGTTCCCTCACATTATTGAGGCATTACATGTTGAATTCTAAACCTTAGCGCAATAAATAGGATATGATATTATTTCATCATGCACTAAAGTTACAAATTATTCTTATAGTCTCTCTTCCGTTTCTTCTCTCCTTAATTCTGATTCCTTTTTTTTTCATGGGAAACTAAGATTCTGAATCTCTCTCTGTATTTCCTCTAAGAATATCTCATTTTGACCTCTATTGGCATGAGATCCAAGATACCTGGAACCCTTCACTCTCGATTCCCTCTCTTTGTCGAGGCTTCTCTTCCATTTCCTCTCAAAATCTTTATTTCTCAATCCTCTCACATTTAAATGGAAGAAATTCTTGAGATAGAAAACATGATCAAGCATTTGATCTAGATCCACCAGGTTTTCATAAACAAGATAAGCAAGAGAATTTTAAGTGACAGACCATCTAAATTATATTAGATGACTTGTGCTGTCATGAATAAACTCAAAAACATTGAAGTCATTTTTGTATGTACATCCAGGAGATATATAACGAAAAATTAATTAGTTCAAATTTCATGTATTTAATTAATACTTTTTTTTTGATAAGGCGTTATATTTCTTATGGTTATAATATTGATGGAAATCCTTGCATTTATTTATATCTCATAAAGCATTAATGTTCATTTATTTAATTTTCATTAGTTGTTCCTTTTCATTAATTAGCTCATTTTTTTGTTATTTTTATTTTGAGGGTAGGCCATTGATGATGATGAAATGGGCCGTGATGGCTAGGAAAGGTAATTCCTGGCTTTAGGTTAGTTCAGATGCTTTTCATAATTTCAGTCTCAATTCAAAGTAGGTATATTTTGACAGGGATTGGGTACGCTATATTAATTTCATTTCATCTTCATTTATTACAGTGGTGGTATATTTTGTCGTTGTTTGAAGTAATCTTGTGGAATTGTTTGTTGTTTGGAGTTATCTTTGAGATTTGACATAATTGGTTATTGTTGGGGCTTTGATCAGGGCAACGTTGTCCTGGTCGGTGGAGATTTGGAGTTTTTTGAGGAGTTTGATTTTTAATTTTTTGCAATTCCTGAGGGACATTTGGTTCTTGTGGGTTTTGTTTGTTTGTGCCTTCTCCTTTTCAAAGGCTTTACTCATACAACTTTCTTGTTTAGTGTGAGGTTGATGTGTGTTGTTATTTGTTGGAGATTGAGTCAGCATCTGTTAAAAAGCTATCCATAGGTTGGTTGGTTTAATTGATTTAAAATTTAAAATTAAATTTGAAATTACTTTAAACTATAATGGAATCGATGTTAAGCTATCCATAGGTTGGTTGGTTTAATTGATTAAAAATTTAAAATTAAATTGGAAATTACTTTAAACTATAATGGAATCGATGTTAAGCCAACTTTACATAATAGTCTATAACGTGGGAGTGGAGATGACAAAGGAGCGGGAGACAGACGTGTGAACAAGCAATTGATGTGGGAACTCGCGTCCACTACTCTTTTGCCGCTCGGACCGGTTCAGTCTAGCATTTTTCAGAGCCAGTCATCTCTTCCTATGGGAGTACCACCTCCTTGAAGCAGAGAGGCCCACTTTTAGTTATCATATTATTATAAATTTGCTTTTTTGAAATTCGAGAGAGTTTTGCATATATTTTTGTTCAGGACAGCCGTCGACTGCTGGCGTTCCCCTTCTAGGGCTATATTCGAAGGTGAAAAGGTGTTTCGGCTGTAATTTGTCCTAGATGGTGACCTTCTCCAATAGTTTGGGTGGCGTTCTAGCTGTAGCTCGATCCTATGGGGGCATTTATCCTTGTCCCACTTCTCTGCAATCTTTCCAGCCACCCCCCTTGCTGTTGCAGCCTCTAGAGAACCCTCCCTTTGCTGTCTCGCAATCCACCATCCTCCCCCTTTACTGACGCTCGCTGCCCAATCCTCGCTACCAGCCTAATCCTTATTTAGTTGAGAATGTTAAAAATATATTTACATAAGAACTCCTTATCCTTATTAATTAACTTCAGCCACCATTATTAATCTGGTGATCTTGTTGGTGTTGTCCTGTTTTATTGTTTTTGTCTTGCTGCTGTACGTGGTCATTCCATGCTTGGTTAGCTTTCAACTGATTTAGAGTTTGACTGTAGTTCCTTTTCTTCTTCTATTCTCCGTAACCCCTTCGAACATTCCACTTGTGTGATTTCATCCTTGGAAGGTTTAAGCAATGAAATTTGGTAAACAAAATGAATGCGGCTCTTCAGAGGCAAGTCCCAAGCCTATGCAATAGGGTTAATGACTGCAGTGATATAAAAAGCTCTGAAAAGTTGCTTATCCAGCTTGTAGAAGGTTTGATTGACCTCAAAATCATTTGCAATGTCATAGTTTAATCATAATCCAATCATCATCTTGGAATGTAATGTTAGGTCGATGCTGGTCCGATACCGGAATTAGTTAGGAAATAAGCAAAAATAAAAACAAATTTTTATTGATATTGAATTAGGGTTACAACACCACTCAAATTGAAAAGGAAAATATAACGTCATGCTCGCCTGCTAGGACTGGAAGAAAAGATCCGAGGGCGGTGGCGATGTCGTTGTCGGTGAAGTGGTATGGGAGCGAGTCAGGGCCGGAGGCTGTGGAGTGGATAAAGAGGGTGATTTGGAGGTCGGTAGGTGGGCAGGCGGAGTGGGGACGGGTAGGAGAATGCAGGAAGTTTGTGATCAGGTGCTAGGGTGAAGGTGGGATGACTGAACAATCTTGGTGTGCTGCAGGAAGGGGTCGACGGGGTGTTAGGGTGGAGGCCAAATGTTACTGTAAGAATATGCTGCTGAAAGGGGTAGCAAAGTGCTGGAATGCGGGTTGGATGACTGGAAAACAAGGATATGCCGCAGGAAAGTGGAGGCAGGGTGCATGGTTGCAGGTGGGAGATGCCAACGGCTAAGTGGGTGCATGGTTGCAGGTGGGAGATGCCAACGGCTAAGAGAAGTGTGGTGGGAGATGCCAACGGCTAAGTGGAGGAGAAGGTGCATGGAAAGTGATAGGGGAAGATACAACACTACCTTGGAGCAGTATACAACCAAAGCACAACCACCTCCTCGGATACAACCCTAATACAGGGAAAATAGATCCACAAAGGAATCTGAAATCAACACACAACAAAAATTAACCCTAACAATCAACACTACACATATATAATAACTAATAGATAAAATAGGAAGGGAAGATTTCTCTCTTTGGGCGGCCACCAGAGAGGAAAGAGGAAGTAGCAACGGGGAAATTGGGGATGCGGGGAAAGGATAGTAGTGGAAGGAGGAGGCGTGAGTGGCAAATCCAGCGTGTAGAAGACCGATCGGTCTAGCAGAAGACTGGACCAGATCCTCCCCAGGCCGGTTCGCTTCTCGCTTGCATGTTGCTCTCCTCCCGCGTCCTGCGACCATCTAAGCTCCAAGTTAGTCTTTCGGGACTGGGAGAGCTTCGACTTCATTGGTCAAAGCTTCCAGTTCTTCGTCTGTAATTTGAGCAGCATCGGGATCCCATTGGCGACTGCATCACCCTCCAAGGCACTTGGGAGTCTTCCTCAACTTGAGAGCAAACATCGACCTCAGTTCAATCTTCCCGAAGTCTACTACTGAACTAAATGGATTCTATGTATCTTGCTTTGGTCGTTGAATACTCCCACAGTCACTCATGGTCGGCTTAACCAGATTTGAAGTGGGGATAACCCGAACCTTCCTGCCTGGTGTTAGCGCTAGTTGTGCGGTGTTGATCTCAAGACCTTGAAATACCCTCTTTGTGTCTGTTCTATGCCTGAAGCTGGTCTCAGTCCTATTATCTTCTGTAATCATTAAAATTGGTCTCACTGAAGCTGCTTTGTTGGTAAAGGCTCTTGTGATTTTAGACTCCGTCGAAGGAAGTTGAATGATGTGTTTCCTATACTTGGTGAAAGAATACGTGTTTTTGAATCCGTTGTGCTGAGTCATCCAGTCAAACTGCCACGGTTGTGTTAACAGATGGTGACAGATATCCATAGGGACCATGTCACATCACACTTGGTCCTGTAGTTGACCCTCAATTGAGAACTCTACTATGCATCTTCGACCGATGCTAATCCGATTCTTTTTCTTTAGCCACGTTAGTGAATACAACTGAGAATGTCTCTGAGTAGTGAGTCTCAATTTCTCTACCATTTGTGTTGATGCCACGTTCTTGCTACCCTCGTTGTCGATGATGAGACTGCATACCTTTCCGTTTTTGTGCAGCGGGTGTAGAATATGCTGTGGCAAAACCACTGTGAATTCCTCGTATCCTCAGTTTACAGGATCCGTCAAATCACAAGCGTCTCTCCTTCATTTGGGAGAAGTTGATACACCCCACCCTGTTTCTCAGCTTTCTCCTCGTCTCTACTCCTCCACGACACTCTGATCTGTGAGTGTGACTACCCTCCCCTGCTCGTGGAACAACATGAAGCTATGTGGCCATAGTCGTGGCATCTGTAACACTTTTTGGTTGATACATTCTTGGAGGAGCTATCTTTCTTTTGTTTATTCCCACTCTGATCTGGAGTGTCATTCCCATGCCCGGGCTGGCTAGTATCTTTCGGGGTACCCTTGGCGGTCGTGGTAACTGTACTTGCCTGCATGTCTGACTATTGTTGCCTGAAGGATGACTATGTTTGCACTGCTTCTGCTGTCTCTCCATCTTCAGTGCCAATGTCTGAACATCTCCAAGTGATGAATAAGGTTGCAGCTGTATTGCATTGCTAATAGCTGGCTTCAAGCCCCTCAGATAAAGGCTATGGTATGCTTCTCTGGCTCAACCATATCCTGACGGTAATGGGGTGGAAGATATTTCCTTTGCGTCACTTTTTTCATCTTCTTTTAGCTGGTAATTTTATCGTTGCCTTCCTTTTTTCCTTTGTCGTTATAAGTTTTCCCGTCACAAAGGGGCACTTTTCTTCAACTTGATAGCAACTAATTTGAAGCTCTCATCCTCTGGCATATCATTATACTCGATGATCTGTTCAATAGATTGCAGTCAATCAATGAAGTCATCGGGATCCATACCTCTCTCAAATTTGGGTAGATCAACTTTGATGTCGAAGTCTTTGTGGCCTCCAAATGACATCTCCTCTCTATAATTCTTCCTCTGGGTGGGATTCAAATATCCCTCTCTTGGCCTCCTCTGATAATGTATTCTGAAACGATATGGTATGTCTTCTTTTTCACTGAATTCTTCCCATGGAAGAGATTCAGATCGTCATTTCTTTCTCCCCTTCGACTCTCCAGATCTCGGTTGAAGGTAACCGCCTTCTATGTTTACTCTTCAATCTCAACGAAGTTCTCGCCGTATCTCTTCTGAGGTAGACTCAGACATATTTCTCCTTGTTGGCATGCTAGGATTTAAAGTTGGGGAGATGAAGGAGCCAGCACAAATGCAGTCTTTATAATAAAGCAAATTATCATCGAGCTAATAGTCTTTGCTTCGAAGACCACTTTGTAGTAGCTGTTGTTAAAGATCTATATCTGGAATTGTTTTTTTTTTTGCTTGTAGGTCATTAAGCAAATTTAGAGAAACGGGCGTTAATAATGACAAGAAAAAACTGGCATGTTGAGAATTATATTTGTTTAGATTCTGAATTTCAAAGGCTCAGGAGAGTGTATCGACTGTTGTAGGGTTTGGATTCAAAGCCAAATAATTTTTTAAGGTAATATTGTTCGGGCAGAGTTTGTAGTACTTGCTGTGATAGCACCTTCAGGCTTTTATGATTGGTACAGATAATGAGTTTTCCGTCAATTAAATATTGGCTCCATTTATACATAGTTTTGTGATTGTGGAGAGTTCATTTAAATATGCTGATGAGGTGCTTATACGAGAACCCAATTTACTAAAAAATGCAATGGGTGCCACTTTGCATGAAGACTGCATCACTTTTGTTATAAACATCCGTTTTCTTGTGTTAGAAGCATCCGTTTTCTTGTGTTAGAAGCATCAATTTCCTACACCAGTTTTGCAAAATCTGGGAGAGCTAAAACCATGCATTCATCAATGTCTTTTTTGGTTTTTGAAAGGCTTTGGCACCTGGAGAATCCTTCAAAAAGGTGTTTACTTGTGGTATGTCAAAGGTGTAGCTAGTAAATCATCGAGTGCAATGAATCAATGATAGTACCCTGTAAGAGCTAGCCATGGAGCTATTTCAATATTTGTGGCATAAGCCAAGAGGTAATTGAATCTAATTTTTTAGAGTCAGCACGAATGACATCAAATTGAATACTATGGCCCAAACAATGAACCATTGTTGGCAAAAAGTGTATTTGTTGAACTTCAGGAATAAGACTTTTCTTTAAACAATGCAGAACCATTTCCAAATGACAATGATGCAGACACAAATCTTTTCTATATAATAACAAATGAATGATAACAACTTTGTGAAGGTAGGCACGGAACACTTGATTTGTTGATGATTGAAAGGTGGAAGGCACGTTCATAAGGCTGAGGGGCATAACCACAAACTCAAAATGACTGTTGTAAGTACGAAAGGTTGTTCTATGAGGATCTAGTTTGGAGATAAAACAATGCTTTGTAGTTAGGGGTGTAAACGAGCCGAACACGAGCGAGCCCAGGCTCAACTCGTGTTCGGCTCGTTTATATTTCGAGCTCAAAAAGTGTGTTCGTGTTCGGTTCGTTTGCTTAGCGAGCCAAACACGAGCTGTTCACAAACAAAGTGTCGTTTTGACAACCCTAATCACGTATCCATAAGATGTTAAGGATTGGGGCGAGATTTAAAACATCATTTGAATCTAATTTAATATTTTTTTATTCTATTTTCTTAATTAATACTTTTAATTGATTATAAATCTTTGTAGCCTTGTAGCCAATTAAATTTTTTTTAAAATACTACTCATCAAATATATATATATATATATAGCAGTATTTCAAGGCAAAACTAGCCGAACACGAATGAACAAATATTTATTCGTGTTGTTCGTGTTCGACTGGTTAACTTAGCCAACGAGCCAAACACGAGTTGTTCGCGAACAATGAACCGTTCTGTTTGCAAACAACGAGCCATTTTGACAGCCCTACCTGTAGTTAGTTCATCAATCACATGTATAAGAAATTTATGATACCGGAACTAGTTCGAAACAGTGAAAACAGAAGCAAACTTCATTAATCAACTATTTAGGGTTGCAAACAAGACTCAACTGAAAGAAAATTGCAAGTGACACTGATAAGTAGATCCGAGGCAAGGATGGTGCCCATGAGGGGGTTGTAATATTGGATGGGAGGAACTATGAGAGGAAGAAGAGGTTGCAGTAGTGGTTAGGGCAGGTGGGGGAAGTGCAGGCTGTCAGCTGTAGTGCTGGACGGCAGGGGGGAGTGCAGGAAAGCATGCAGCGCAACTACAGGATGACACGTGTTGGCTGGCAGCAGGGTTCTGGTAGCCTGGACAGCAGGTTTGCAGTAGTAAAAGGTGGGCGGCAGGACGGCTGGCAGGGAAGGGGATGGCTGGTTGCTAGGGAAGATGTAAGAGAAGGGTAGGGAAGATGATAGGGAGGATACAACACCGCCTTAGAGCAGGGAACAACCGAAGCACCACCTATCGTCGGATACCCGTCCTAGCAGGGAGAGGAGATGATAGGGAGGATACAACACCGCCTCAGAGCAGGACACAACCAAAGCACCACCTATCGTCGGATACCCGTCCTAGCAGGGAGAGGAGAAAAAACTCCAAGAGAAACTCTGAAACAACAACAAACAAAAATTGAACACAATTTCCAGAAAAAAGTAATTAAGGACTCCACCGTGAAATAATACAGAAGGAAAGGAATAGAGAGGGAGGGCAGTAGTCCCGTCCCGTAAGATCCCGCCCGGTCCAGGAGGGGCATGGACCGGTCTCCAATCAAATTGGGATCTGTTGCCAGCCGGTTCAGCCGGCAGCCGGCTGGCTCCCCTAGCCATGCCTCAATTTATCTTTAATGTAATAGCATTCAAGGCACGGTGTTCAACACAAATTCCATGTGCCATCATATTTTTTGACCAACATCATTGGCTTAGAAAAGGGCTTCAGCTATGACATGTAAATCCATTGTCAAATATTTTTGCAATTAAGCTCATCCTACCATTCTTTTGAAAATGAGGATAGTGTTACTACTGAATGTTCATTGGTTGGGAACCTACTTGAGGGAAATGCGATGATCAATTTGGGGGTGTGGTGGCAACCCTTTTGGCTTGGAAAAATTATCTTTGGCTGGCTACAACTCATAGAGTTGCAATGAAACGGAGGTCATAATTGTTCAAGCAGAGTATTTGTGGAATTATTGGTATGGTATGGTTATCTGAATATGGTGATGCTTGCAACGGAAAAAAAGAATTGGTTGAACAATGTGTTTGCACTAGTAATTGATGAATATGAACGTGGTCTGAGGCTTGCTGCGCTTCGCCGTGCAAGTTGATGACTTGGTTGTTTTTTTCGAGAATTGCATTGTAATGTCTTGATAATAATGTAAAATAGGCCCTAGTGATTGTGACCACTGCATGCCTAGTACTTACTCAGCACCTGAGAATAACCAAGATGATTGAGTCTAGCTGGATATGATGATCTTGAAGGAAGAGGGAATTGTTTGTGCATCTGCAACTAAAAGAAATATGGCCACCATTGCCCACAAAACTTAAAAAGTGTTGATTGGTTGGAATTTCATTCAAGTGATGGGCCGCATACTCCTGAATGAAATTGTGTGTTACTGCTATCAATGAGAATGTGAATACGATGGCATTGTAATATCCTAGCCAGCTAGAGAAAGTGAGGGTTTAATTTTCTAACAAGGGCACTAAGGCTATTTTAGACATTATATCCATCATCATCATTAATAAAACGTTCATCCGAACATGGTAGCAAGTAGAATTGTGTGGGCAGGCATGTTGGCAGCTTGATTTACCATCTCAATTGAAACAAAAAGATCCTTGTTCCATTTGTAGGGTACCTCTGCTGGTGCCATTTAGTAGATAGGGAGTTTCAACTGTTTGACAGTAGAAAATGTTGACGAAGAGGTGGAAGATGTTGGGATTTGTGAAAAAGAGGTTTGAATATTTTGTGCTGCCATCGTTGGAGGGAAAACGGTTGGTTGGCATCGTTCAGAGGTGAGAACTCCTTGCAAATCTTGAATGTGCAACCAATTCCATCGCATCAAGAGTGGGTGGTTTGGCCAATAGAAGTTCTCATTGCAATTCGTGGGTTAAACACGAAATAAAGAAGCTAAACCAAGGAACCCTCATGTAAGTCTGAAATTTGAATGATCAATTGCTTAAATGCATTTTGGCCGTCAATAATGGAGACTTGTTTGGCCAATAGAAGTTCTCATTGCAATTTGTTGGTTAAACACGAAACAAAGATGCCAAACCAAGGAATCCTCATGTAAGTCTGAAATTTGAAAGGTTAATTCCTCAAATGCATTTGGGTAGTCAATAATGGAGACTTGTTGAATGAATTTTAATAGATTTCCAAGACAATCCTCATATTGTGAAATGTCAAACTGCATTTGTAAGTCAAAAAGGTTTTCCAGGTAATTAACATTTGCAATGGAGTCATTGATACTGAGTGGTTGTGGCCTGTTTCAAATGAAACAGGGCAATGTGAATGTCATGGAATTCTGAGGTTGAAGTCAAAGTATTCATTGTCTTTAAAGATCCATGTGTTAACGAAGTGGCTGCTAAATCTTGGTAATTCAATCTTTATTTGTAATTTAAGGAATTGCTGTCATGGGCGATTTGCTTTTGGAAGGATGCAGCAGGAGGCGGGTGAAGAATAATTTCTATCATTTGCTGTTTTGATTTTTTGAAGAAGAATGCCTGTGAGATGATAATTCCTCCAAGCTCTCGATTGTAGTCATGAAGGGTTGGAATTACTGTGAGGTTTGATTGATTATAGTCACTTCAGCGTCTGAATACTGGAGGGAGTGCCGAAATTCTGTGAATTGCAGTTCATGTCGAGCTTGCATCATCTTCAATGCTTTTTGCCAAATTTGATTTCTTCATGATGGTATACAAAAACAATAGCACTTATATTCTTTGGTTATAAGCTCCTGAGAATGTACCTTTTGAGTAGGTACAAACTTCTAGAAACAAGAGAAGAAAGAGGAAAGAGATTTTATTTCCATCTTGATAGCATAATACATATTCCTATGTATTTTGGGCCGGCCATGAAAAAAAAAAAAAAAAGGTATTTTCATGTAATGCCTCTTCATGTGAATTAATTAACTACAACCACTATTATTAATCTATTGAGCCTGATCGTGCTGTCCTATTTTGTCCTTAAGCATAGTCTTCCATCCATAACTGCGCTTACCTTCTTCTTGCGGTACTGGCCCTTCCATACTTGATTTTCTATTGATTTAGAGTTTGATTGTACTTCCGATCTCCTTATTCACTCTGCACATTCTGTTTGTGTGATATTTTTGTCCAATGATATTGTTGTTTGTGTGCAATTTGTTAGGCTACCCAGTCAGTGGCCTGAGCATTGATTGATGAAGTTTTTTATCTTGCAATACCCTTATTGTATTTTTTTCTGCTGCTTATTCATTCATTCCCACCTAATCCGTTCTTATAATTTCCTTTTTTTTTCCTTTGTGATACAGCAAGGGTGCCGAAGCTATACGTCCCAAGAAAAAGAGGATTACTGAAAAAAAATATGCAAATGAATCCAACTTGGCAGACGATATGAATGACTGTGGTGATATAAGCAATGAGAATAATATGGAATTTCTATTGGACAACGACGTGGAATGCACTCCTGCTGCAACAAACGGAATAATTGAAGTTGCTTTTGTTGAGGCAGAAACAGGAAAAGATTTACATTTACAAGAACCATTGGTGCAGGTCCCAGATGACACAAGTTGAGAAATGGAAATGAAGATACTTTGGATAAAACTGCTCGAGTAACTGGATTGCCCTTTTAGACTTGCAGTTCAGAAATCAAATAATGGATTGGATATGCTTGCTTTTGAATGAAGCTTTGCCACAGTCAGGCCACTTGCTCCTTCAGGCTGTGGGCTAGGATGACCTTTTTCCAGGTGAAAGAAAAAAAAAATTATGCTGAACTTTTTGTGACTGGATTGAAGAATCTTGCAATCGCTTGAACTTTTCTGTAAAATCATTAACACAGCTAGCATTATCCACCTGGAACGACTAACTGGACTGGGACTGCATCATGACGCGTCTCAGCGATGAGAAATGTAAGGTTAGTGGTGTGTCATGCTAAGCTATTAGAATTGGCAATCTCTCATTTTCTAAACATTCTTATCGTCCGCTTGCCATCATTGCACTTGCTGCAGAATTCTGTCTGATCTGATATGGGACACTATGGTTTAACCACTCATTAACTCTATGGAGGCGTGCAATCATCCTTCTTTTCTGCTGGTATGGTAATTGAATTCAGAATATCTTTTTAATGCTTCTGGGTTTTTTTGGCTTTGCCAGAAGTAAAAGACTAACACATTGTTTCTCCAAGCTGATGAAAGTTGTGCTAACTTTACACCTTGTTAAGCTGAAAAGCGGCACACAGGATGATGTAGATTACTTATTTTAATCACTCTGAATATTGATTCCTAATCAGATGAAAGTATAGTTTCTCAAACTTCCTAATATCTAATGAAATTAGCAGCCATGGCTGTGCTTCTTTCAGCTGTCAAGCCAAATCTCTGACAACAAACAATCAAAGGTGCAGACAAGGTGAATATTAATCCTACTCAAGTAGCTTAATTAGCATACGAACCAAACGCTGTCATTAGCATGTTCTTGTTCTTTTCTGCATAAATATTGATGCTTCAAATTAAATTGATAACTTTTTACAGCACTAATGGCATTAGTTTTTTTTTGATAAATTGAGTAATAATTACTAGCCTTATTGAATGTGATGGATCTACCCAGCGTTCTTTTATTTTTTTTTAATAACTAAAACAATGAGAAAAGTTGCTTGTACATCAAAAGGAAAAATATTGCAGCGTAAAAGATTAAATAAGTTTTGCTAAATTTTATTTTTTTTGAAATTAACAATGCAGATTTTTGCATCTATCATCGAAATGTTTCATATATAAATCCTAAGCCATGTTAAATTCTTTTTTTGATTAAATTTAAGTAAAAAATTGAAATGGACATCTTCATCCACAGATAAGATGATATGTATGTAAAAATTGAAGTGTATCTACATTCATAGGAATTGTTAAATCTTCCCATTTAGTAATATTGATATTAGTCAGTTTAAATTTTTTTTTTTCACCTAGTAATGTTTGAGAAGTGGGTTATGTTAGGTTATCAACCATTCATTGGAGATATCCATTTTTTTTTTATTTCACTAGTTTTTTTAATTTACATTATAAAGGCCCATAGGTGTCAGACAACCATTTCATTCAAACCATAAATAAATTAGCGATTACTTTTCCTTAGCTAACTTTTGGTTTTAGTGACCTCAGTGTGTTTATTATTATTATTATTATTATTATTTACTTGCACATACCTAGTTTTTATTTTGGAATAGATTGTAATTATAATGAATTTTCTAATTTACCTAACCTGTTAAGGTTATTGATTGTTAGTTGGATTGATCGTAAAACTTAAAGAGGTTGTCTATAGTGTTCATTGTTATCAATTTTGATGCAAAATGTTGTTATGATAGTAAGAAAAAAAGTTTTAAGGCTACTTTGGGTAGATAGCTTTCTAAAGTATTAGCAAAGCTAAGTCATCGTTGCAAATGATCATCAAATTAGTAGAATACAACTCAACTTGAAATGGTGCTTTAGCACAAAGTGAATAGTTTAAAGCCATTTTAGGCCAAAAGGCTTTAGTGAAAGGAAGTATTGACTTCAACCTATCATTAGTTTAGGAACAAATGACTTGATAAAAAATGGCATTTGATGGTATGAAGGGAATTTGAAGGCCATTTTGGGCTAATAGCTTTGCAAGACCACCGTGAAGTACATAAACAGAAACTATCAAGTTATCGACAATTTAGGATTAAAACTATTCAAAATTAACTAGTATTAGGAGTGGGTTGAGAATCAAAAGTATCAAGGGTAGTTTAAGAGCTTTTTTAGCTAGTAGCTTTATTGGATTAATAGCGAAGTTTAAAAGAAATCTTCTGTCAAACTTCATATGATTATGATCTAAAACTTAGCCAAGCTCACATTTTAGATAATGTAAATGATAGTTCCAAGCCAGTCTGGATCAACTTCTCTACTAGATTAGCAACAAAGCATAAGTATGATTATTATCATGCTAAGCTATCATCTATCTAGGAGTCAAAAGATTGACATTTTGGGTGGTTTAAAGGGATGGTTTAAGAATTATTTTGGGTTGATGGCTCGCTAGGTTAATAACAATGAGTGAATTTGAGCAGTCACATCAAATTATCATTTATTTAAAAGCTAACTCAACATGTGGTTTAAAAGATAGTTTTGGGCTAAAAAATTATCTGATTGATAGTGAAGTAAAAATGAGATCATTGTCTCTAGATATCATTAATTTTGGAGCTAATGGCTCGATGTGAAATAATGCTTTGGGCTGTGCAAATGGGTTTCTTAAGGTTATTATAGGTTGTCAATTTTTTAGGTTAGCATGGTTAGCATAAAAAATTTGAGTAAGGTCATCACATGAAGATATTGTTTGTTTAGGTGGTGTAGAAAGTCACGTAACATAAATGTGAGTAAGAATATCATACCACAAGGATTGCTTCTCAAATACTGAAATTAGGATGGTGAACCATGTTATTCAAATAATTGAATTGGGGTGGTGTAACTATCAACTATAAAACAACAACAACAACAACAACAAGCCTTTATCCTACTAATTGAGGTATAAAACTGCAACTAAAATAAAAATGATCAATAGAGCAAAGCATAGTTTCAAGAAAGTTATTTCAAGGAAGCTATATGGTTTGGAGTTCAACATGTATTGGTTAAATCAGTGGTAAATTAACATAAATAGTGTTTGTAGTTTGAGTAATGTTTTGATCCGATCATAGTGGATGCTTCCAAGCTCTTGCAAGCTGAAAGTTTTTGCTTTCGCTTTTATAATCTACCTATCTCCCGGTGATTGATTTAGTGCCATTGAAACCATCCAATCTCTTAGGATTTTGAAGGGGCTACAAGGGCTCTTTATATATTTCTCTAACTTATGTTACATACATTATAGTTTTTACACCCACGAGGAGTCTGCTTTTCACCTCTTAGTTTCAAACAGATCTCCAGTATATTAACATGTAACCATATTATTAATAGTTTTGTATTTATTAAAGTAAAACATGTAGTATGAACTATGAAGCTAAAAATCAATACAACATAACTATAGCATTGAAACCAACTTAAAAGATTTAACACATGCTACATCTTACCCCTAGAAAATAGGCTTTAGCTCATATCTAAGAAGAAAACAAAAAGTAAAAATAGTTTTAAAATGATTATAAAAAATAGAAGCAAAAGAAGAGGAATATAAATTGGAAATAGTCACGGAGCCTTCTCACAATCCCTTCTTTCTCTCTCAATTCAGCCGCTCAAGTTCCTTCAACTTCCTCCAAATTACCCTAAAAAAATCTTTAGGAGAAACCTATCTAAACCCTGCTTAGGGCTGTCTAGATATCTCCATTTGTTCCCAGATCTTCTATAAATAAAACAATATCTGCTCTAAGAAAGGAAAATAATCAAGCGAAATATAAATTCGCTAAATTGGTTTTTTGGTGCCTAGATACCGTGGTCTTGCATCTAGACACCTAGGAGCCAGAGTCTTGCATTTAGGCACCAAGCATTGTCTTTTGGACTCATTTATGCATTCTTTGAGTGCCTTGACACCTATTTTGGGTGTTTGAGGGCCCAATTTTTTTAGTTCTAGTGCTAGAATTGACTATTTTGGGTGCCTAGATGCCCAGATTGGCGCTTGGGCACCCAGGATTGGGGTCTAGGCACCAGAACATGGGCCTAGCTTCCAGGACAGCTTGTGACCTCCCAAATACACATTTTTTGAAGGCTCAAATAACCTCTGTTTTGCTTCTTTGCTTTGAACTCTTAAAATCTATAACAAAATGATATTTTTCTATACAGACAAAATATTTTACTAAGTAAAAAAATTTCTAAGAATTTAATAGATTATAATATAAATTAATGATCTAAATGAAAGAAAACATATGTGAAGTTCACTATTATTAATAGGAATTGATGGCTCAACAAAAGAATGCATTGCAACAACATTAAGGATAATTTAAGGCCATTACATGTTGATAGATTATAGAATTAGAATCAAAGTTATGCATGATTTTTAAAATAAGCTATTATCATCTTATAACTATTATCTCAACAAAAAAGATAGTGACTTAATAACAAAAAAAAAAAAAAAAGAATTATCATTTCATGATGTTGTCAATTTAGCAGTTGATGACTTAACATTGACTGATGCCTAAGTAGCATGAATGCTTGTTTAGAGCCATTTTGGTTTGACTGTTTGTTGGATTGATATTAAAATATAAAAGAGATTTTAACATCAAACTAAATATTGATTGTGGCCTAAATAATAGGAAGGATATTTTAAAGCCATATTGGGCCAACTGTTTGTTGGATCAACATCAAAATTTAATAGATATTTTAATATCAAACTATTGCTTATTTAAGAGCAAACATCTCAACAAGTCTTAATGCTTTCGGTAGTATAAATGGATTGATGCTTAGTGCAATGGATTATTAGTATAAATGTAGTTTTCGGGTTTCCCTAACTGATGGCAAGAGAAATCGTAGCTCTTCAATTTTGATAATAAATATTTTGCTTGTATGTAGATTTTTTCATGCTCTCTTTTTTATGTAGTTATTGGTTCCTTTCTCTATTACTAAATTTTAGGATGTCGAATATTTGATGAACATTTTACGATCATAAAGGATGGCGTCTTGTAAGTTGATAACATGGGAAGGTGTTGGTGGATTTTCCATTGAGGCAAGAAAGGCAAAATGGCCTGAGCAACTTGAGGGTATAATGGCTATTGGAAGTTGGCTAGGGCTACACCAAGGCTTGTGCTAAGGTATAGATACCCTGATTTCTTTTAAGTGCTTGAGATATCTTATGCCGATATAGATAATTGTCTTACAAGCTAACGATCGAGGAGGGCATTGCAAGTTTTTTGAGATTGATGGGTGTTCAAAACAAGATTCACTGTAGATCATCAATCTAATAATACACTAAGAATAATCGGTGCAATTAAATGAAAAGGCATGGGATGAAGGCTCTAGTTCATCAAGTGCTTCGAGATTTGATAGTTTGATGGAATAAGGTGCTAGATGCCAACTACATGTTATCCAATCATATCAATCAAGATTATGATCAATTTTAAGTTATATTAAATAAATTCATATTTAAGGATCAAAATTGGAATCATTTGAAGATTAATTAACCCACACTATACCCAAAGGTAGTTAGGATTATTATTAAAAAACACAATAAACTAGATTGTTGTTTGGTCTAGATAGTGTAGTAAGAGTCATTGCTTATAGGAGGAGAGAAAGGGCATCTATATATAAATTAAATAATAGATTTTAAAATTTTTATTTTTATGATTGAATATATAAATGTTATCTTATGACTGAATACGCAATGCACAAAGGGCTATAATTATTTATTTATTTATTTATGCAGTAAGAGCCACTGAAGCTAAGCTGCCTATCTATGAATGATATTTGATATTTTTAACTAATATAATTTTTTTACTAATTAGTTTTTATTTAAGATGCATTCATTTCTAACATTACCTCCCAAAGGCCATGTACATTATATTTTAGCTATAACAAGGCTTAAATATTTATTTTCTTATATAAGCTTATCTTTATTAGCAAATTAATGAATTAAATATTGATCA